ACACGGGGCTTTTCCGTGCCTCAGATCTAGTCCATGCATTACTTTTGCAGTACTTACCACGACTGGACATGAGAACAGGAGGTCAGGCAGTGAAGGAACAACAATTAATGTGCCAGTGAAACATAACCTCTGCAGCTCACTGCTGCACATCTGGAAAGCGTCGGGCGATTGAATATTGGTGAAAACTGAATTTAGGGTGTTTTTGAAACATAATTTCAGACCTGCAAGCAGGAGGCAGAGGTCTCAGCAGACCAAAATATCTGTTATGGTTTTGTTCCAGTCTCTGAAAGCTCTCAGTCGTCTTTGTGTGTGAGAGCAGGGCTGTCGGCACCTGCACCAGTGTCTGCGAGCGCTTCCTGATGCAAGTAATCCAGGTGGCTAATCAGAGCGGACCAGCTCAAACACTGTCCTGCGCTCTACAGCAAGAATAAATACGAGGAAGAGGGATTATTGCAGCTGGGGGTTTACAGTGAGGGAAGAGGAAGCACGACTCTGCTGAGCTCAGTTCGGCTGCTGTGCTGGGCTGACTCCATATTTAAGGGAGCAGACATTTTAGCATGTAACGTATCCGAGTGCTGTGGTTGGACAGCTCGGATTATCGCTTTGTTTGTAAACGAGAGCAAACTCAGAAAACGGCACAAAACAAAACGCAGTTCCTTCCTGTTTGGCCTCGTGCTCTCTGGTGTCTCACGTCTCTCCCCTGGCCAAACAAATTCACTTACTTCTTACTGTCAAAGCTAGCAAAGATGTCTTCAAAGGCCTCTAGAGGGCGCTCCTCTGAGTGATCAAAGTAGAAATCGAGCATAGAAGCTCGTCTGTGGGGGGGAAACGGAGAGGAGAGAACCGCACACACAGAGGATATGGGTGACGGAGGTAAAGTGAAGGAGGATTTATCTTTAGTGGCGCTGGTGAGAGATGCGTCTGTGCCAGTGCTGAGGATTCAATTCAAATTAGACAGTAACAAAGCAGAAAGGATCAATGTGGAGGTCCAGATCTTTCACCTCCAACAGGAAGCTGGTGTGTGTGTGTGTGGCAGCTTCATGAAGGGTGAACATTATGTTGATCCCGTTTAAAATAATCAGTCTGTGCTTCGTGACAATAACACCGTTATTAGCTGCCACGTCCACAGGCACAGATTTCCTCCAGAAGAGCCTGAAGGTTAAAAAACCAGCCCGAGCACGACACCCAGACGGCGAGTTTCATAGTTTCGTGTTGAATTACGTTACTTACTTGTACATTCTTTCTATTGCGGTATTGCACCGCTGAAGCTCTCCTAAAGGAGTTCTGGTGACTGGACGGATAACACCTGACACCCCGAACAAACACAAGAGAGAAAAATCATTATTAACATCGGGAAAGCGTTCGATTTCAAAGTTTCTGGCAGGAAAAAGGTGTTATCAAAGTCACATGACTCTTTTTTGTGTGTTTAGTATATTTAATCCTGATAATGCAAATAAAAAGGCAGCAAATCAGACTTGTGGGAACAGTTTTGGAGAAACTTTAGCCTCAACTCTGCAGGCTGCATTACTTCTATGTGCACAATGACGGAGCAGAGACACTGCAGCAGTGAAAGTCATCAGATCGCTTACTTTCACTGAAACCAATGCAGTCTTTTATAATTATCAGCTTAACAATTCATTCATCTGCAGAATTCAGATTATTTTGCAGACGATTCATTTCAGTTATTAAGATTAATCATGTGCTAAATAATTAATCTGGCATGTCTTCACACTAATAACACACCTGCAGTTTTTGCTGCCCAGGTGCGACCGGCCTCGTTGAAAGCAGCGAGGCCCCTGATCGTAGCTCTCAGGATGCCCCATCGAAACATGGCCACCGGGTCCATGCCTATGAGCTGCCGCACGTACGCTCTGTCGCTGCTCCGCAGCAGCGCCACAATGTCCGGGCGCATGTGGTCTGTGTTCTTCTCCCGGAAATCCTGGTGAGGTGAGAGGCAGTTACGAGTGAGACACAAGCCCTCGCACTCAAACCGAGGTCCAATCGTCCTTTTGTCTCCACTCCCTACCTTGATGTGATATTTTACTTTCCCAGCAAAGTGCTGGATGACGAAGGCGGGCTCCATGACCGGCGTGGGGACAAAGTATTTGTTGCACTGGTGCTGCTGCTTGAATTTGGCTAATAAAGTCTCATCTGTGGCATGTGGAAAGCTGGGTCACAGACACAGAGAAGAAGGAACGATGAGAGAAGCACAGATTAAGGAAAAAGAAAATCAGGATAAATCGACGTCGATTAAAATAAACTTTTCTTACTTGCTCTCCTCATCCAGGAGGTAGAGCAGGCCAGTGGGTTTCTTGCTGATGAGATGGATGCAGCCCACGTTGTCTATGTAGTCGATGTTGTGCCAGGTGATGCCCTCTGCTTGGTACTCCTCCTGGATGCGACAGGACAGAGCATTAAGAGGTTAAACGTGTCACTGCTGCTCTTTAAATATCTGGATTTTTAGTCTCAAAAAGAAACAAACTGCACCATCGTGTGACTGCAAAGTTATGTTTGACTACAAAAATGCAATAACTTGATTTATAAACCAGCACGAACTCCCACATAACGGTTCTCCTCCGCGGAGATCGGGTAATGTTTGGATGAGTCATCCTTCACACGCTCGTTATCATAAACAGAGATTCGTTCGTCTGAGGCGCTCGAAGGCAAACCTCCTGACAGTGCAGCGTCCACTGCACGTCTCACCTGCTCCAGATTGAAGATGTGATGGTTGAAGTAATACTGCAGCTGCTCGTTTGCATAGTTGATGCAAAACTGCTCGAAGCTGTTTGTCTCAAAGTCCTCGAAGCCAAAAATGTCCAGGACACCGATGGATAAGCACTGGAAAACAACCAGAACGCCAAGTGAACAAAGGGAGGCGACCTAACTGGACTTTTCATGTCTTTGCACTTTCTGATGTGTGTGTTTCTTACTGGAACAGACTCCTCCATGTCTTTCTTATTGAGCAGTGCGTGATTGATGCGCAGGACAATCCAGTCAAATAAGGCGCTGTACAGAGATTTGGCCATAGAGTCTCGTGCTGTGATGGCCTGATAGGAGATAAAAGAGGGGGCGATGCACAGAGCGTTAGAGGCAGAAAAACCCAGAACACACCAACAGGAAGAAGAAATCCAAAGCACGAATAAAGAGGAAGTAGACGCTAATGAGAGACTGCACTGATGCTCCTGAGCCCACCTCAGAGTGTCTGTAGGGCAGGATCAGCTTGTCGTTGACCGTCACCGTCTTCCTCTTAGTCAGCGCCTCCACCAGCAGCTCCTCTTTAACCTGAGTGACATCAGCAGTTTAACAGTGGCAGCCGCACACACCTACACAAACTGAAGCACGGAGTCACAAACACACATTCAAGTTACCTTTAGTAGGTCAGAGAGGGTTGCCAGGACCTCTGGTGGGCCCACGTCCAAGCCTTCATCTCGGCCCGTTGCCTTCTTCGTGTAGGTCACGTTGCCAAGGTACAGGATGGCGGAGAGCACAGAAAAGATCCTGCGACACAATAATAACAATGACACACTTTAGAAAGAAGACAAACATGAGACACGTGTGGTGCTGGTCTTCAGCCCAAGCGTCCCTTTGAGCTGTGAACTGAATAGAGCCATTGTAGTAGCTGCACGCCGTCTCTAATAAACTGGCTGATTGGCTCATTAGCTGCAGAGACTGCCAGGCTCTGAAAAGTATCTTTGTTGTAATCTGGGGCTGGTAATGTGACTCAGTGCTCACACTAACATAACTCGTGTTTACAGGACTGAAGGCAAAGATGCTTCTGCGTGGAACAGCGAGGCTTTCACTTCACTTACTGTTTCTTGGTGGCAGGAAGGAAGCCGACCATTTCCATCGCCTGCTGCAGCCGTTCAAAATCGTGACGCAAATCTTCCTCATCTTCAATCTTAAAATTTTGCTGCGAGGAACAAGAACGAGGCAGTTATCGAGTGTTTGGAGATGGAAATAAAAAGGTGAAGCGCAAAACGGACACACGGGTGAAGGCGTGTGAAAAGCAGGTGGAGGAGAGGGGAATAACAACGAGAGAGAACAAAGAGCGGCTCATTAACATGCAGGACACACGGACTGCAGCTTGGCTGCATTCATGAATATATCAGGTCACTCAAAGGGAAGCACAGTGTGACTGTAGTGCAGGGGTCGGCCACCTTTCTGATGACGAGTGGCGTCTAAAGTTCCCTCAGACGTCACTGCGCCATAGCGACCGTGGCATTAGCAATACATGTAATAACGCTCTATATCAGTGGTTGTGTTTGTGTGTATTTCCGTGGTGCTGATGCTGAGCAGACAGATCCCTGATGCGTTTGAAGCATAAAAACTGCCAGCTAGCAACGCCTCTGTCACCGGTAGGCGGAGTGATTTTTAGCCAATTACAAGCTGAATCTGGTAGTTGGGGTTGTTAGCTAAGATAGCGTCATTAAGAAGCGGCACAACTAACGTGTCTACGCGAGCTAATCTGCGATGTGCACTGCTGGCCCAGCCATTTATTTTTGATGCACCTTCTCAGATTAACTCGAGTGCCCAGGGTGGCCGACCCCTGCTGTAAAGGCCACGCCCATGACCAGGTTCAAAGGTTAAAAATCAACAGGAAAGTTATTTGGTGGGCCGAAAACAGGAGACTGAAATTAAATGGAGAAAATAGTTTAGATAGGAAAGCTTGCTGATTCCTGATCTATCAAAAGAGACGTCGCACTTTATCTGAAAATGCTTCATTTTAGGTATAAATGAGCTCATCAGCCGTCCTGATGAGTGTAACTCAAATCTGATTACTTAATACTTACGAAACATTTCCATTGCTGGTGGAAAAAACCAAAAGCAAAACGTGAGCCTGCTATGAAACATTAAAATGATGCAGGCAGCTTCCTAAATAAAACCTGCTTTAAATGTTATCTTAGCTAAAGCCCAGCTGCAGATCGAGCAGATGCTGGGGGCCAAAACACCAGACGAATATTTTAAATAAATAAATGTTGTTCATTTCCATATTTATCACATTTGTCACAGGGGACCCTGGAGGAGGGCGACTGAGGCCCCTGTGGTGCCGGAGCAGCGACTCTGTACCTGCTTGAGGTAGAAATAGTCTTCAGGCGGCAGCAATTTGAACTCCTTTCGTTCTTCCTCTGAAGCGCCCAGCAGCAGGTAGTAAAACACGTGATAGTTCCTGGAAAAGGAAAAAAAAAACATGAACTTTACACCAAGTTATTACTGAGGGAAAAAGTTCCCTTCATTTTTATACCATTGCTGTTCATTAGTAGATGTACGAGCTTATGGCCACAAACAGACTGAGTCAACACACTTTATAAAGTCTGAAGCTCGGTGCTGTTTACAGTAGTTTTCCACTGGTGCTATCAGCGAGCAGGTAGCTTTGTTGTATGAGCACACGGGAGTAATGAGTTTCCACACTTATCACTAAGAAACAATAACACCACCCAGCAGACGCACCGTCAACTGCAACTATGTGATTAACGGCGCACACGGAGCGGGCGGCAGTGGGCGGGGGGTAACGTGACGTAATCGGCAGCAGTAGGTGAACAGATTTTCCAAAACTAGCTGTGAAAACCTCGACAGGAAGCTCGTCTCCCACCTAAAAACAGCTACTGGAGGCTTTTCTACACACACGAAGCATCAGCTGAGCTCCAGAGTTTAATATTCTGAGTTTAAAGTGTGTTTTTAAGGACAGATACGCACACCTCCATGTGGCAGACACACATATACACAAAGGATAAACTAGTGTCAGTCCCACTTTTTAGATTATACTCTTTTAATCTTGTGTTTCTTTTAAAGATCATCATCAGCATTCAGCAGGAACCACTGATGTTAATGTCAGTTTATCTGTGACAGTCGGCCTCTTCCTTTGACTCACTGATAGATCCCACAGAGAAAACAGAATGATGAAGCAGGATTACGTCGCTCTGACTGCGTTTCTCAGTTACCAAAGTGAAATAACTGTTTGCATATTAGTCACACAAGCAGCGACAGACTAGCAGTCTAGTTGGTAGGAAACAGTGCAGTGAGCAACACGAGAGGCAGCGTCAAGGCGACGAGTTGGTTTCAATGTGCAGCAACGAATCTTCTTAACTGTTGGTCAAAACTTGCTTTTCAGTGTTTATTATCTGCAAATAAACACAACTGCAGGTCCTGGTTATATAAGACGACCTGATGAGGGTCAAGACCCCGTCATTCCTCACCTCTCATTCTTCTCCCTAGAGACCAGACGAGACTTCTCCAGGAGGTACTTCTCCACCACTGCCCTGCAAGATGGAGAAAAACACAGTGAGGGGGGAAGGATGAGAAAAAGCAGAAGGAGGAGGATGAATCATCTGATCTAAAAAAGGTCACTCGGCTGTGTCTGTGTCTCCCAGGTCACTTGTGAAAGTGGGCTGCTAATAAAGACTGCGGGGAGGAGCAGGGGAAGTGAGGGCAGATGGTCAGAACAATCAAAGAGGGAACAAAGCTCTCAGATATGGTTGGACGTGTGTCATCACACAGCAACACGCCGGCCGCAGACAGCTTAGGATTCATGTATTTGACTGAATAGGAGACGGAGGGCAGTGAAAAAGCAGGCTGTGTTTTCACTGCAGTCGACAGATACGCAGCTTTATTTACCTGCTGCATCAGGCCAAGGCCATAAAGTTTGCCAAATCAGATTTTATAAGTCAAAGTTGGTTTTTCAGTAGCCAAGCAAAAACAGCACTGACGCCAGTCCTGACACTAAGAATAGAGCTGTGCTGTGAGAAACCGGCTTGCAGCTTCGACTAGAGACAGACAACGTAAAGTTCAAACGCTAGCTTACGTGCTCTGTGACGTCGGGGTGTAATCAGTTGTGCCCATCATGACCACAAAAACACCCACAAAATGCTGTTTATCATTATTATTGTAACAAACAAGATCGTCTGACGGGAATCCTGATCACGCTGCCCACAGATACTGAGGTAAGTTGCACTTGAACCTGTTAGAGGCTTCTGCAAACGTCTGAATGTGCACAGGCATGCAGGGGTGTCCAAGCAATACAACAGATGGTGCATCAATAACAATCCCTACTCATTAGCTGATCTGAGAACAGCTGATGTTTGCTGAACGTGAGCTGAAGAAGGTTGAGAGACGGAGACCATAAAAACATGCAGACTGTCGGTCAGCTCAGAGAGCCGAGGCGAGCAGCAGCTTCCTCTTTGCTGATCCACTCCACTGGAGACGGAGAGACACACAGCCTTTGTCAAGTCTACAGAGCAGAGCTGTGGTGGCCTCCTGAGTCCTTAACCGCCTAGAAGAGTCTACACTAGAAAGAATAATGGTGGTGAAATATGGTGGGCGGTGTGCTTTGAGTAGATATGATATGTTCTGCAAGATAACGATCTTTGGTGGGAATCACAGAAAAGCCTCAGCCTGCTAAAATCGACTCCTCGGATTGGATTACAGAGCTGAGGCTGAGCAACGAGAGCTGGTGCTATCAGGCTGGGGATACCCACCTAGTGTGGAGCTGAACATCTGTCAGCACAGGCATCAACGTGTTTATTCACCGCCTATTTTTAGGACCAGAGAATTAATCACTGTGTCAGTCATTAGTCTGAACACTGTACTAAATGTTCGCTGCAGTTAAACAGGGCTCTAGAGTGCGACCAAATTTTTCAGTGGTGCGACTAAAAAAAAATATTTGGTTGCACCTGTGCGACCAACTGTTCAGGTAGCAAAAAAAAAAAAAATAAAATAAAATCTGCAACCTTCCCTGTGGTCAACAACAGACACACATTGTGCCCCTATCGTGGACTAAACCAATCAGAGATAGTAAGGGGCGGGACCTCTCTGATTGGCCGTGGTCCAGTTGAAAGTG